TGTTACTCTCATCCTAAGGGAACTGCAAACACCAAATCATCCTAAGTTAAGGAACACATGCAAAGTCTTCTATTGTGGTAATTTGTAATTGTGTTTCTTTTATTCTCAAGAATATAAAAATCCTTAAAAGCAATTTTACAAATCAGACTCCCCAGTCTAGGTGCATCTATGCAAGACAGAAATGGCACAATGGCCTCAAAGCAGGGGCATTGTGTGCCTGCGGAAGGACAGCCACACCTAAGACAGAACCGGAAGCTCATTTCGTGGAATACAGTAGCCACACAATAGCACTGGCACAGAAGGAGTAAATGACATCATTCATTTAAATTTCTGCAACCACAGGGGAAATCTAGGTATTCAGAAACTACATCTGACCAGGCACCAAAATTAATAGGGATGAAAAACACCCCCAAGTGAATCAATTATATTTATATATATAATCCAAAAGAGAAACACAGTCTTCATGTCACTTCAGGAAAAAAAAATATCACAAATTCTGTTTGAATTATTACTAAAGCCTTTGAACCCTAACAACAAAAATGCATGTTCATAAAAGGCATACACACAAGGATGTCTTTTCCCTTTCCTCACAATACATATCCCATCCAAACACTGAGAAAACACTTATGCCCCAATCCCTTATATGACTGATTTAATTCATCAGTCTTTCAGCACCAACGTAATAGCTCTAGTGACAACTATGCCAGGACTGCAGTTGTTGAGGAGATTCTGCAAAGGAACAGTTGAAATTTTTATAAGTTTTAAAGCATGCTTTTGAAGAATCTGTTCTTCAAAAAGTCTAATTCTTCCAAGTCACAGACTAATCTGTAAAGCAGCAAACTTAATTACAGAAATTGCAAAATAAAAGTGATGATTGCAAGCCACAAAGAGGTGGGGGCTGGCACACTGGGGGAGCAGCTCTACAGCTCTTCCCAGCGTCTGCCTTGTTCTCCACGTCAGAAGATCATTCCCAAAGAGCAGCAGAATTCTGTCCCTGCCTTCTGGAGCCACTCACAGAACTTCAGAGTAAAAAGGCATACCTTAAAAATGTCCTGTTACAAAAAGGGATGTGACCAGAGTGTTTTATGTCTGAAGTGGAGAATAAGGGGAAAAGGGAATAGTGGGGGATAATGCTTTATCCTTTCCTGCACAAACATGCACACTTAAACATACTCCAGCAGGTTCCCCAAACTGTGTCAGGTGACCTTTCTTAGGGTCTAACAACATGCACTTATTTAGATCTCCACTTCATAAGGCAGCAAAGATTCTACCCTAAGATAAAGCAATAACATTTTTGACTGCTCTTGGGAATATTTTCCATTTTCTCAGAGGTTTATTTTGACTTCTCAGTTTCACTACTGTAGTTTACTAGAAAGTTCCAAGATATCTTCTTTGAGCTCAACTTCTTGATCCACGAACCCTGTTAAAACAAACATTTTCTAATGCTACCTCAGTGACATGGCTGACACCAATCTGAAATGAAAAAATAACCAGGGTATCTAGCAGAGTCAAAACAGCCTTACAACAGCTTTGTAAACAGCTTTAGCAGAAGGAAAACCACAAAGGATTATGTGTAATTCCAAACAGTTTTGATTAAATTTGGAATCTAGTAGATTAATTGTGTTCCAGAAATTTTTAGGGCCTAGAATTCACCTCAAGGTGAGGAAAGGCCAAGGATATATTCTTTAAATGTAATAAAACACAGAGAATTGAGGCACACTTACAAACCAATGGCACAAGACTTGTTAAAGAATAAGCAGGCAGAATTAAAATTATCATAGAAAGGATATCCTTGACTGTGAGCTCCAGTTCCATAGGCTTCCACCTAAATAATCCTGCTTAGACCCTGAATTCTGCAATTTCTTCAATACAAACTACCACAGGGGTCAGCAGGACCTGACACTAACACAATGTACTACCACAGACCTATATATGACTGCTTAGATTTTATCCCAAGGTAATTTCCTTCCATAAGGAAAATAGTATGAAAAAATTGTACCTTCTTACTCTAGGCACACATTCCTGGTTTTTTTTTGGGGTTTTTTTCATGATAGTGTTAAATACTTGAAGTACTTTAGGAACAAAAAATATAACTTTTTTTACCAAAACTCTGACAAATGGATGCACTCCATTCCCACATAGTGGGACTGTATTCCCCGTTAGGCATCACCAAATAAACTTATTTAGTGCATTTCAGTGACAGAACACCGACCACGGTGTAACAGGGGAATTCAAGACTCAGTTTACAGTGTTACATTGAAAATTATGCTTTTGATTTGTAAATGGAGCTAAGTGAGTATAGAAACTATTCAGACAGAAAACCTATGGAAGGTCCATTTTGCCAAGACCTTTTTCTGACTGCAACTCCTAGGCACAAACATGCATAAAATTGCTTTCTTCCAAAATAGGAAAATGGGTCTCTTGGATTGTTGCTCATAAAGAGAAAAGAGGAGCAGAAATAGCTAGATTTTTGTTCTGCTTAAAAATTAATGAAGCATGGAATTTAAATCCAAACCTGAGGCCTTTCAAAAATGGGCAGTAGTAACTTCCATAAGGATTAAAAAAAAAAATAATCACACAGAGCCCAGGGGCATTTTCATCTAGAAGTTATTACAGAACTGGATTTAACAATGAATTCCACTTGACTTTGAGTTAACTGTCTGAGCTGCAAGTATTGAGAGCTAGCAAGTATTGAGAGCCAACTTCTTCCTTGCATATTTTAAAATACAGGAAAAAAATGGTGATTTATTTCAGAGCCCTGATACTCTGGTTCCCACACAGCTGTCTAAGAACAGCCCTGATTACTCACTGCCAGCTCTCCTTGTTTCCAGCTGCTAAATCCCATTAGAAGCAGCTAAAAATGCATTAAGCGCTTTCCTAACATTACTTTTCAGTATAATCAATTTTTGTAGTTGTCATATGGCTAAGAGACAGAAAAGCTGGATCAGCAATAAAATTAACTGCTTTCAGAGACGTGTTCAGCAAAGTTAGAACATACACAATCTTTGATTTCTGGGGTAATCAGGCACCTAATACCCATAAGGATTTTTTCTTAAGTTCTTGAGCACAGCCCTGGCTGTGCTCTGATTAATTGTGAAGTTTCAAGACCGATTAATTTCCCAGTCTCACAATCCTGCTCTCCAGCCTACAACTAGCTAAGGGTAGAAGAAAAATTCTGAGTGTCTGCAATTTCTGTTGGAACACTCCTGCTTTGAAAGTGGGATAAAAGTCAGGCAATTGGTGGATTACAGTCCTCCGTAAGTCTGTTGCAGAAAATTGCAGAGGAAAAGCATCATTTCCAAACAAAAAACAAAGCACTGGCTGCTTCTGAAGTGAAAAGGAGCCATGAAACCCACTTGTATGAAGCTACAGTGGTTTGCCAGGTCTCACCGGAGTTGTAGTACAAGGACTTACAGAGGAGCAGTGACAAAGTGACTCAGATGTTGACTTGAAAAATCTGGACCAACAATGACAGGATGAATTAAGACAGTAGCTGAAAAACTCAAAAAATGCTGAAGAAGCCAGGGCACAGAGACTGTCATGTGCACAACATCAACAGCTGTACCAAGGGCTGTTTCTTACATTTTAAGTGAGACTATATATAGCTATGGGAACTATTTATTGGCATAAACAGCACACATTTATATTTGGAAATTATGGATTTTTGCTGAGGAATATGCACTTCAGCATCTTGATAATAGTTCCAATCAGAGGATAAGAATCAAACTCTTTCAGATAAATGTATTGTTGCACCGAGATCCTGTTTACTTCCAGTTTTGCATCTTGCCTCTCCAGAAATGTTAGTCAGGCTCGGCGTGTTTCCGAGGTGGGGATTAGAATACAGGAATTCCTTAATTAACTTCACAGAACCTCTGACCCAGGAGCCGAGGCCTCTGCACAGGGAAGATGACGTGGAGAGTCAGTAATGGCAATACAAGACACATCCCCCCTGCACTTCCAGTCCTCTAGCAGAGACACAGAAGGTGGTTACAGGGCTCTGCATCTGCTCTCATTGGTATCAGTGCAATGGCGTTTCTGTGGCTCTGAAACTGTAAAAAAGACAAAAAAAGTATAAAAGACAAAAAAATCTACACAAGACAGATGCTGTTTAAACAAAGAAAAATATCTAAACACACACATACAAACCCTGAAGAACACAAATAATAGTCTTTATGATTTGTGAAAAGATGCTTTAAACCAGTTTATGCTGGCATACAAACCAGTGTGTAGATGAAAAATCAGTGTACACCCACTAAACCATCTGCAAGGCTCTGCCTCAACAGAAAGATTTCAGCCTCCACAGATGTCAATTAAAAGTTCAAACTGGATCAATCAATTCATATTAATCACAACAGCCCCGAGTCCATCCTGCAAGCAGAGGGACCAAAAAATATTACTTGGACTGGATCATGAGCCATTTGTGTAGGAGCACAGCACACCGACAGCGTTTTTCTGCTCGTAGTTATCCTGCGCTATGTAAGAGCACGCACTGGAACAGATCGTCCATGGAGAGCATGGAGCCCCTTCGCGGGAGACATTCCAGCACCGTCCGGACACAGCCCCGAGCCGTGCGCTCAGGGATGGCCCTGCCTGACCGAGGGCAGATGACCCACTGTGGTCAACCTGACACACTGTGTGACCCTGCCAGCTGCGCCTGGCTGCGCTGTGCACGCACCTGACCGCTGCTGGCAACACCCAGAGAGTAACACCGCAGCTCCAGCCACTGCCCAGCCACGCTCAGGCTTCTCTAGCGGGGGAAACCCGGGACGAGGGTCCAGCACGCAGCACTGTGCCCTGCCCCGGCGAGGGGGAGTTTCGTTTAAAGGCGCTGAGGATTCCCCGGGTGCCGGGACGGGAGAGAGCCCCGGCACGGAATCCCCTCACGCCGGCCTGGCCCCGCCCCCGGCCCCGCCTTCCCCCTCTCGTTGCCGCGCGCCTTCGCGCCCCCGCTCCCCCCGCCGCTCCTTCCTCCGCCAAGTCTCGCGAGAGCCGTGCGGGCCGGCGCGCGCGGGCCGCGCCATGTCGGATGCCGTTGGGCGCAGCCGGGGCCCCGCCCCGCCCGGCGGCCCCAGCGCCCCGCACTGAGCCCGGAAGCGCTTCCCGGCCGCGCTCTGCCCCGGGACCCCGCTCCCTGCTCCAGCCGCCGCTCCCCGCGCCCGCCCGCCGGGCCACGCGCATCTCCCTCTCCCTTTCCTCAGGAGGAGCGGGGGGGCCCCCGCAGCGGGGCCCGGGGCAGAGCCGGGGGGCGGGAATGCAGCCGCCGGAGCCGCAGCCGCAGCCGGAGCCGAGCCCCCAGCGCAGCACGGTGAGGGGGGGCGGCGGTGAGGGAGAGGTGTGGGGGGTGAATGTGGGGGCGGGCAGGGCCGCCCCGCTGCCGGGGGTCAGTGAGGGAGGCTCGGGTGACACCCCCCGCTCCCCCGTCCCGCCGGGCTGTGGGTGTCCCCCCTCGCCGTGTGGGGCGGGCTGCAGCCGTGCCGGGGGCACAGACGGGCTGCCCCGGGAGCAGGGCTGTCCTGCCCTGCGTGGGCCCGGGTGTGGTGACGGGAGGCGGCTCGTGTTGATCCTGGCTCCTGTTTTGCTGCCGCACTCCCACGCACCGAGCAGGGAAAACTTTGGTCTTTGTTTTTGGAGCCCTTTGCGGAGCGAGGCGGGCGGACTGCCCGGGGATCCCGTGCGGGTGTCCCCTGAGCGGGGGCTGTGCTGTCTGCTGGGCCACTGATGCTGCTCTTGCTGCGCAAAAATAAATTAATTAATAAAAAGCAAATGGATTCACAGGTAAACGCTGCCACTGCCCCTTGGACGTGACTGCAGCGCGATGCTGCTGCTGCTGCTGAGCCTTGGCTCTAGAAATAGGAGGCCCCCAAAGGTAGCAAGGCCTTGACTGTGCTCTGTCCAGAGTCTTGGCTTCAGGTCGGGTTTGAGATCTTATCGACTGCTTCTTTTGGCTCTGAGGAAGATTAACTCGATTTTCATTTTAGTTGTTTTTTTTTTAATGTAAGTGGATATGGTGGATGGATGCAGCTCTTATTTATACTGTTCAGTGTTAGTGTAGAACTGTGCAGTCGCTGTGCTTTTGCCCTTGTTCAAACATAACTTGTAACATGATATTGGCCATTGTTTCCCTGGCTTTGGCAAGGAGAAAACAAAGAGAGGAAAGACGATTGCTTAGATGGTTTGGGAGTATCTGTACTTCAGATTTTGGTAGAGATTCCCTGTGTCCAAAAAAATGGAATGGCTTAGATATGCCACACTTGGAAAGTAATGGAAAAACTTAAAGTGAGACACTGTGTTCAGGTAAACATGCATATGACTGTTATGGAAGGTCTCAATGCTAACAGGGTTGAAGATGCTATTCTTCAATCTAAGTAAGTCTTGAGAGTGGTCAGGTCAACCTGTCCAGCTGATGTGTCAATTTGTGTTTGTTATTTTTAGTGCTGGTGTTTACTGTGACAAAATTGAGTAGTATTTCTTTATGGGCTTATGTTCTCTAGCAGGTCCACCTGATCACTAATATTTCCAGAGGACTTAGTATAACTCTTAGAGCTCTTAAAACTTACAGGTAAAGCTTGCCTGGTCAAAGGCCAGTCACTGTTCTGGTAACTTTAATTTTGTTTTCGAGCTCTGCAAGAAAAGCAATACTTTCTTGTGCCCCTCCTTAAGTATATTTGCAGTTAACATATTTCATGTAAAAAGAAGAAATGTTAAATTCATTTCCTCTTTGTAGAGAGAGGAACAGGATTCTTAAAAATAAAGTATTTCACAACATTTGTTAAAGCTTGCACTTTGTCCTGCCTTGTGAATGGTGTCTGTTGACAGCAGCAATCTGAAGAGTGCCTTAACAACCTGTATTAATGTACATATAGACTGTGTCTGTTTGTTCATGAAATTACCAACATACCAAATTTTACAGACATTAGTAAAGAATAATAAAATCGGCATTTAAGCTTTCCTTTAATCTTGAATCATTTGGTTTAAACACAGGTAGCCAGATAAGTATGATGTATTCTTCTTATGAAATTATACTTTTATGGTGTATTTTTTTTTATCTTGTGTCATAACCTTTGCATATAATGATGGCAGGTAAATGTAATGAGGGTATTGTGAGATCTGTGTCAATTCTTGTTCCCTGAATCTCATTGAGGATCCTTTTTTTTCCCATGACTTTTCATCTTGAGGAAGACTAGATCAGTTGAATAGGTCTTGTGAAAACGTATCTGACTTTCAGCCAGCTTTGGTGATGTCTGTGCTGGTGTCTCTCTGTTGAGTTGCAGAGTAAAAGGAAATCCTAATGGAAAAAGACTCCTTTGAAGTCATCCAGGAGAGTACATTGATGTGATTCTTTGGGTTATCCGAAGGTAACTCTCCTCTGTCCCCTCTCAGGAATTATGCTTAATGAAGTTTTTGGTTGCACTGGTCTGTAGAGGCTTTCTCCCGAATTCAAACCTGTGATGATTCATTTTATATGTATTTGTAAACAGCATAAGTAGCCTCAAAGTATGACCTGCAAAAGTGTTCTTCTTGGGGCAAGAGTTACATTGATATGTACTGCAGTTCATAATAAATAGGAAACCTAAGATGTTTTATTGAATTCTTTTTCAAAGCATTTTGTCTTCAACTGGGATGATTTTCAAATCCCTACTTTCACAGCTTCAGTGTTTCAACAAAATCACCAACACAAGGAAAAGCCTTTGATTTACCTTTTTGACACCAAAGGTATTTTAGTGATGATCGAGTCATTGAGTAAATGATCAAATCTAGTAAATTTTTGGTAACGTCAAGTCTAAGTGTGTGCTTAGTCATCCAACTCAACTATGCTATGACACATTCTGCTCTGGGAGCATCTGTGATGCTGCTGTTCCCTCTGCTGTGAGCTGAAGTAGGTGCCGTGCCTGTGTGCTCACATGTAAGCACAAGTAAAGTGTAACTGAAGGTGTTTGCAGTGGAAGTTATTTTTGTTACATGGTATGGGTAAAAGGCAGGTGAAAAACAGCGTGAAACTGAGAGGCTTCATTCACAGCCCGAAACATTACCATAAGCACCTTTGGGGCTATTTTGACTGCATGATAGGTGGTGGAAATATCTATGACTTGTGGTCTTGCAATATCTTTTCCTGTCCCTGTCACTGTGTTTACTCCAACAGAAAAATGAAGCCAAACTGAAAAATGTTGGTGCTACCTAGTACAATAAACTGATACTAGGGATTTGCTTTCAAATCTCTGGCAAGTTTGCTATTGTTGTAGATTGTTTTGGTTTTTTTCCAGATTGGAACTCTTGGTTTTCTCTATAGTACAATTTTTCTCTAGGCTTATTTCTGTATGGGCATAGTAGACTAAAATACTGTCCAAAACACAATATTGGCATTTTTGTGAGAGATTGAGAACCGCTTTGCAGACGTTGAATGTGTGGTGATACCATGGTGCCAGTTCTCACGTGTGAAACTCTCTCCTAAATGGAAAGATGAGTTTTGAAGTACTTGTTTAGACTCGCATGTGCAAATGGTGAAGGTGTTGGTTGAAAACACTGCTACAATGGGTTCTTGTAGTCTGCCAAACCTTCAAGTGTCAAAGTTGTCCTTTGAAAGGCTTTCAAACTGGCAATGTGCTCCTAATACTTAAACAAAATGCTCTCTCCAGCTCCAGGCAAATGGTGATAGTGTAGGTGGTTCTGTGGTACTGAATATCCATGCTGGGTGTCTCCTGCTCTGTGTGAGGAGGGTGGTTGGTCAGCAACTTCTGTGCTCTATCAGTCATTGTTTAAGAAGTGGCACTGTGGTATTGGTATCCAGGAGACTCACGTGCACAACTTCTGGAAAAAACATCACTAGGGCGTTTTCATTGACTTGAGAAGCTGAAATACATGTCACAAAATTCAGTATGTAATACGGTGAGACAATGCCACAGCATTGCTGCTGCAATTCAAGTTGTGCAGCATGTTCTTATTGTTTGGTATTTTTCTTGTTATTTTCTTCTTTTCAAAGATTAATTGTACCAGGTAGATCACAATGTCTGTCTCAGCTTAATGTCACAGTGGAAGTAACATTTCAATATTCTTACACCCCATTGATTACTATGTTGAATGTTTCTCCCTTTTCCAGTATTGTTTTTAAATAGCCAGCCAGCATAGCACTACAGAGTAAAAATGAAAAATGCCATCTCTGCTGAGGTTATATACAGTTTTGTGTTTTTAAGAAGCATTAGTCCTTCAGTTTCTGGTGGGCTTTATTTTATTAAGGGCCTGAGTTCAAAGCAGTGGTATTGTAAAAGCAGTGAATTACCAGGTTTTGTCCTGATCTGGCTCTTTTGTAAGGAAAATTACAGCTCTTTTCAGAGAGTTGTGTAAAGCAGGAGGCTTTGTAAGCAGATAGCCAAGTCACTAAGAGAGAGAGAGGAGGGACGTCATTCTGCTAAGGTAGTATTGAGCAGCCTGGCTGTCACAGCTTGCTGGTGGATCATTAGGAGTGTTTTCTGGAAAACACCTTTCAGCAGATTCTGTTCAGTCTTGTTACATACTCCAAATGAAATACTTTCTTTCAAATGAAATTGCATATCTGCTACAGTGTCCATTAATTGAAAAGTGGATCAATTTATGTGAAATCATGGTTGATCTGGGGACACACGGAGAGTTTTTAGAAAAAGAAATCCTGTTACTATCAGTATTTGTCTTGGATGTTGTGGCAGAAAAAACTTGAACGATTTAATAAAGTGCATTCAGTCCTGAGTGTTTCTTACCAGATTTGGTAAAAAGAGCCACAGCAGTGCTGGTATTTTAATCTTGTTGCAGCTTTATGCTAAAGCATTTTTCCATTCCTTGGTTATATTCTGAGGTGGTTTGCCCCCAAGTCTCATCTGTTTGAACAACTCTTCCTGGTTTACAGTGTCACAGCTGCATTAGAAATGGCTGGCAAAAGGCTTTGCTCGTTCTGTGTATGTTATTTGTCACATTGGTATAAATCCTCAAGAGTAATTTTGTGCCTTCAGTGGGGAGTTTGAGTTTGTATACTTTGGCTTGACTCAAGATGTGGGCATTTTTTCCTAGCACTTGAAAGAGTTACAGATTTGGTTTGTTCTTTCATGTTGGGCATTGGATCAATAATAGTTGATGAATAGGAGATAGTTGGGTTTTGTTGCCTTTTTTTTTTTAGCCTAAATGTTGTGCAAGTTATGAAAGAAATATAGAACTTGGCTTTCATGTGGTTGTTCTTAAAGATCAGCTTGCAGAAATAGTAAGCCAGGTACTAGGCTGTTGCAGAGCATTGCATTTTTTTTCTCGAAATTCTTACGTTTATCTTGAAGGAATAGTAATTCT